TTATATATATATATATAATTATATATATTATATATATATATATTTATATATATATATATATTATATATATTAATATATATATATATATATATATATTTATATATATATATATATTATATATATATATATATATATATATATATATATATATATATATATATATATATATATAATATATATATATATATATATATATATATATATATATATATATATATATATTATATATATATATATAATATATATATATATAATATATATATATAATATATATATAATATATATATATATATATATAATATATATATATATATATATTATATATATATATATATATAATATATATATATATATATATATATATATATATATATATATATATATACTATATAATATATATATAAAATATGTATGGCTAATATATTATATATGTCCGAAAGATGTCATTTAGATATTTTTTTTTAACATTATCTTATTACTATTATATTTTAATGTCTGAAAGATGTCATATAGATGGTTTTTTTTTAACATCATCTAAATGTCTTTAAGATGTCTTGTGTTTACTTAGATCTTTTTATTATGTATGGTCATTTATTATTTTTTTAGAATTACTTACAGATAAATCTTCAATAATAAAGGCATTAAATTACTCCTGTACGGTTCTAAAAATTACTAATAACAAAGTAATATATGACTGTTTTCAACTTTCTTCAGCTACTTCAATTCAAAATGATCTATCTAAGGTTTTGATAGATTTAGAATGTCATGCATTAGGATATGTTTATCTATCTTGTCAACGTAATCGACTTATTCAATCTTGTTTTTTTCCTTCCATTTTACTTTGCAGCATGTCAAGGAGTTCACACAGAGTTGCATGTTTCAAAGTATTTTCATTTTTATGTGATTTACTACAGTTTGAAGTAATCGTTAATCCTACCTGCAATAATGAAGAGGTATTTATTTATTTTCAAAGTAAAGGATGCCAAAATATTTTTTAGGGTAATTTTATGTCAATTTACCCAGACTATGTCACCATACATCTCAGATTTTGCTAATTTTTATACAGTTGAGTCTACTTAGTAAAATAAGATAATTCTGAAATATGAATACTTAACTCTCAGCAGATATTGGCTAGGCTCCTCTTGTCTCCTCAGAATTGCAATGTTTATTTAAAAGTTTTAAGTCACATATTTGATTTTTTTACTTAAAAGTTTGTCCCCAATTATTTTCAGGGGTGAAGAATCCAATAAACTAATCAGAAATATAAATAATTATTGTTAAGTATTTATCAATTTAAATAAATTTAGGCAATATTTTATATACCTGTTTTTAATGCCCAAAAACCCATGTGGCCTTGATCATATCAAAAAAAAATTTTACCCATCATTCTATATTCATTGATCTTTCAGAATAAATAATGATTTTGATCTGCAACTATATGGATCTCTATATGGAGAACAGGACATGGTCCCCTCTTGTTTGTAGTAGCATATTGTGATTGATTTTTCTCTACCTTCTAGTCTAACTGAACTCTAAAACTTTTAGAATTTCTGAGGTGCTTATAAATGTACATGTTAAAACTGTTTTTAGGGCCAAAAACCTGAGGGACAGGGGGGGGTCTTTATTGGTTTATACTTCTGTTTTATTTTCAAAATAAAAACAAAACAAAAATAAAATGTCAAGATTGTGTCAAGATTTGATAAATCAAAAGTATACAAAGTATACGTTCATTTGTTGTTACAGGTACATCAATGATACTAATTGTGTTGGTAATTAAGACCGAAAATTTAAATATGATAAATTTCATTTATCATACCAATCCAATAAAATGTATTATATATACACATAATAAACTCACCAAATTTCAATCTATTGATGTTGGTTTTCTGATTAGTTTAAGAACTTTAAATAATATATAAAAAAAAATGTCTGTTAAATTAACATCTTCACTTCTTTGTTTAAAGCTAATAGTATCTATAGATTCTGGGTTAAATTGATGATAGCTCCTAGGTCCAGGAATTTTTCTACTTTTTAATTCTTTTTTTGATGATGGCAGACTGTTAAAATTTTGTTATTTGTTATTCCAAATCTCCTAGTTTATTTTCTTCTCTTGCATCTTCTCTCTAACAATTAAGTCTTTTTAAATCAGTCTTTCTACAATAAACTTAAAGTTTATGAAATTTGACATATCATTTGACAGTTTTCTAAAATTAAAATAAAATAAGAATCCATTCTAGTTTTAAAGTAAGAATCTTTACTTTAAAACTAGTAGTTTTAAAGTAAGAAAAAGTTTCAGAATAAATTAAATGAGAAACCAATAGTAATTAATTAGTTTAGTTTATTTTATTTAGTAATCGATCAAAAAAATACAACAAAATATTAAAGCTAAATTAAAAATAAAATGAAGAGGGAAAGCACCAGGCTCCTCTGTTCTGACAGTTTTGTGCTGCATACAAAGTAGCTATAGTTAAATAAAAAAGTTTTTGAAGTTGAAGTTGAAAAAAGTTGACACTTTGTGCATTGATGGTCTTTTGTGGGAGAGAGTTTCAGTGACATACAATTCAATTTGTAAGAAACTGTTTTCTTTCAATACGATTATTTACTCTTTGTTTATCAATGCACTGACTGTGACCTTGAAGATTGTATATCAATTTAGTCAAGTGTTGTGACTTGCTTTATGTCAAAAGCTGCAGTTATGATCAATTGTGATTTTGTTACTTTATTCTTCTTTTCTTCTTTATAAGCTCAAGTAAATTTTTTGTCCCTGACATGTTTGTTATACTTTTGACAATCCCTATCACTCTTTTCTATTTTGTTCGCGAAATTTTTACAAGTTCCACACTGATCTTTCTTAATTTTTCAGAATTTTAAACGAAATCAAAGTTTAAAAAATTTTTGATAGAACTTGTATCTCTATAAGAAGATTTTTCTCACTGCAGTACTTTATGAAGAGTTTATGTTTATTTCCATGATTGAAAGCTTCTGAGGAAGAAACTGATTTTTTTATGTGTCTCACGTAATGGGATTCAACACCTTTAAACGTCTCAATATGATTGATGACATTTTGTTCCCGTTCATTTGATATTTTTCTATGGTTTTCGTGGCGACATCTTAAATCTTTTTTGATTCTCCTTGTAGCAGTTTTTTTTGCCATCACTGTTTTTATTGTCTGATGTGATAATCCCAGGGTATTAAGAAACATGGGTGCACAGATACGCGTTTCAAGAGCATCATTTTCTTGGCATGGAAAACTGTATGTAAATGTTCGGTTTCTGTTTCTTTATTTTCCCACATGCTCCCTTTTTCTTCTTCGTTTTGGTTCTTCCTCTGTCACCTTTGCCACAATGTATTGGCGCCATTTATCTATACTTTCCATTGACCAATATGAATGAAGTAATTCATTATGATATTGCTCCGTAAGATTCTCTGCACACTGAAGCAAACATTTCTTATCACATCTTTTTTGCATTTCTTTACCCTGTACCACTACTACAATTCCTTTATTCAGACCAGTCTTTGGTACATAAAGAAATTTCTGTCCTGTGTTTACTTTAAATTTCCTAATCTTTCTAATCCATCGTGATGGATTTCTCTTCTTTTTGGGGGTTGTATCACAGAGAGTTGGAATAATTTCTTCCGTACCAAACTTGTGAAGTTCTGCAAATTTAAATTTTTCACAATCACTGAGGTTCAAAAGTATTGCTGCACCAATACTAGTTTTATCAACATCAAGTTCCACACTGACTTTATTAAAGTTTTTAATTACTTTTGTTATAATAAAATCTTCCATAACCATTAGGTATTGTTTCTCTGCTTTTGGCGATTTTCTGAATTATTTCATTGTGGTAAAATAATTATTACATGTGGTGAGTTATAGAATTCTGAATAAATTCAGAATGTTATAACTAGTTGTTTAATAACTATCACCTGGTATATTTAGTAACGTGTTCTTAATAAGTTCGATTTCTTTTTCTTTAAAAATAATTTAGGATAACATAAGATAGTCTTACTTAAGTTTAGATGGAGTTAAGTTTTGAATGTCTTTTTAAATTTTTTTCTGGACATAAGATATTTGAATTTTACTTATACAGTCTAAAATTTAATCATTTTTGGTCCAATACAATGTGGAATGTTTTTTATACACCTAAGAAGTATTTTTAACCAAAAAATCATTTTTGCCAAAAATTGACTTATATAGTTAAATAGTTTTGTTTTGCAGCATGACAATATTTGCTAGACAACAATACACAGACTGCAGAATGCTTTTTACAGCCTTCCAAGTACTTGATTTGTTGTTAAGGTTACTGTCTCAACTTGATTTTTCAATTTTAAGTTGTCTGACACCATGACGCCAAGTTCTCTTTCATTCTTGGTAACTGCAAGTTGTATTTGAGATCCTTCGTCACTGCACATTAAATATTTTGTTGATCTTTTGGTTCCATGGCCTATGTGTTTTACCTTGCATTTTAACACATTGAAAGGCATGCACAAAATTCTGAACCACTCCATGGCTTTGTCTATATCATCAGCATATAATTGGATGTGATACAGAATGTTGTTTGGAAGATTGTTGATAAAAAGAACAAATAATAATGGTCTTAGAACCGATCCTTGTGGAACTCCACTTGAAACCGGTAGCCAATTTAATTTATGTCTTTTCATGACTACACATTGTTTGTGATCTGTAAGTCATGCTTCAATCCATTTCAACAATGCACCACATATACACAGTGCCCTCAGTTTGTGTAGCAAGCGTTAATGAAGAACTTTATCAAATGCTTTAGCAAAGTCCATATAAATGATTTTGGCAGCATAACCTAAGTGGTCTGTGTCAGGATGTCACGTGCCTCAAGGAGATTGGTTGTGCAGCCTCGTTTGAAAGCAATTTATTGATAACACTATGAGATATAACTTGATTGTGAATAATTCCTTTCAGGATTTTGCAGACGGTTGAAGTTAGAGATACTGGCCTGTAGTTTGAAGCATTAATTTTGTTTCTTTTTTTATAAATTGGCGCTATATTTGATTTTCTCCATAGATCCGGGACTTTTCCAGTTGCGATTGATTTCTTGAATATAAGCGCTATTGGAGGGGTAAAAGCAGCTTTATATAACTTAAACACCATGGTAATGAAAAACTAAACAGTGATTGATTTCTTTTAGCTTTTTTTGAAGGTAAATAGTAATATTTTGTTGCTTTAACAAGGTTGTTTAATTGTTGTTAATTTGTTAATGTTAAAAATGTTAATGATGAATTTAATAGGTATGTTAAAAATGTTAATGATGAATTTAATAGGTATTTAATATTTAATAATGACAGGATGTTTTTTTGTTACTATTAATAGTTCTTACTTAATAAAACAACTTGATGTTAACATTTTAAAATTAGCAAATATTAATTAAAATAATGGTTTTAAAAGGTGCTATTTTTCTTTTTTATTGATGTGAATACTATTGCAAGATGTTTTTTTGTTTTTTTTTTAACTATTGGATTTTAGTTATTTAAACAACTTGCTGTTAACATTTCAGCATAAAAAATATCAACTTTTTTTAATTCAAAATGTTTAAAGTTATACAATAATAAGTTCTTTTAAAATCATTATTTTTGATGGATGACTGTTTTTAATTTGTATACTTGCAAATTCTTAAAATATATTAAATTTTTAAAGTTTTTTACAAAAGGTCATTAAATATAGAATGATAAAAATCCGAATGAAACATGTATGAACCAAAAAAAATTTTGAAGATAATATTTTCAAAGTTATCTTTATTTTGTTAAAGTCAAAAAAAAAATTTTTATTTAGAAAAACAGGGCATGGCTTTAGATGCCCCTACCTCATGACCCTCTTTAACATACATTTGCTCCAGCTAGTCTGGAAGGTAATAAAAGTCAGCTAGTCTGGAAGGTAATGAAAAATAAATTGCAATATTTAACTACAAAAAAGTGGGGACCG